TAGTAGTTGCCAAAAAATAAATACTCGCGGATAACATCCTAAAACTTTTCGTGCAGAGGAAAGTTTAGCGCCGTCCATTGCATACCGCTTTGTTAACATTTGGTATAATCTTTATACTAACATTTTCAAATTTTAAATTACCGTTTTTGTACTAAATTTTAAGGTACTCAAGTTTTTAAATTTTAATATGTAATACTAAAAGATACCTTAAACAAATTTTTAGGGAACTAGAGTTTAGTATTTTTAACTATTCAAAATTTTATATCAAAACTAAAAACTACTAAAGTTTTAAAATACTTTATGTCAACATTTAGAATTATTTATTAGTACAAAGACGTAAAATTTTAAATACCCAGATTTAGTACTAAACGTTTATGGTAGAAACATTCCGTACTAAAAAATATGTACCAAAATTTAGTAGGTACTAAAATTTACCTAAAAACTTGTTTGAGTTCTATACTCCAATATTTTAAGATCCCCAAAGTTACTACTAAGTAGTATATTATTATATGTCTATCCTGAAGTACTAAAATATATTTCCAATATTTTAAGGAACTTGATTTCTGTACTAAAATTCTAAATAAATTTTTTTGTACAAAGTAAGGTACTAAGATTTAGACATATGTACATTGCTTTCACAGTTCATTAGGCGTTAAAAAACTGTTTGCAATTCACTTTTTTGTTTAATAAATTTGTTTTAGGAAAATTAGCAATAAGATATAATTGTCTGATTAAGTTATATTTCTTATCAACTACTAAAAATTCATGAATATTTATTTTTTGCTAATACAAAATATTTAATCATATTTCAGCGGCTTTTGTTTAAACTTTCAAACTCGTACAAAATTTAAGATAAGGACTTATTTCGCTCACTCGATATTAGGTGACAAAATCAACTAAAAAAAACGTATTATCGATTGAATAGCTTGATAGCTCGACATTGAAAAAATATTTTTTTATCAAATTTTGCAATTGGAAACATTATTCTAGTTCTAGAGAAGATTGCTGTAATAAAAGATTGGCAATTTTTTTTTTTTCAAAACACCAACTTAAACTAAATCAAATGAACTTAAAGTAGAAAAATAATCCAAATAATTTGCTTCAAATAAAATATTTATAGTTAAAAGAGATAGCAGAAATTGGTTTGGTGGAGTAAAGAGAAGGGAATGGTGATAGAGTACTGGCAAAGTAATGTATATATATACATATATATATATATATATATATATTTCTTTTGGTTATGTTTCTATATAAGTATTTATATATATGTTCTTTGCTTAATAAATAAGACAAGAAAACGAAACAGAACGAACGAACGTAGAGAAGAATGCGTTTTTTCGTTAAAAAATAGAAAGAGTATTTACCTGCGTTTGGTGATCGGGGGCAGGGAGGCCCGTGTTGTCTAACAGTGTAGGGGAAGCAGGGCGAGCATCTATAGCAACAAATATAACATAAAGACTTCACATTTACCACAGCAGACCATTACAGAAAAAAAAAACTAAACTTAAGTTTGAAATTTCGATTCATAAAACTAATGGAAATGTACATAATTTTGAGAAAATAAATTCAGTAAAAAATTAAAAAATATTTAATTTGGAAAATTAGTAAAAATAAATATATTTAGTTATTTTTGTTTCAAATTAGCCACTGATTCAGAGTTGTATGTCTCTATCACTATCAATTTTTTCGCTGTCTTGCTAAGTAGGTAATTTTTTCTTTTGATTTATTAATGCCGATTTATTAAAAAAATGCGAATTGATAAATAGTTATTTGAAATGTTTACATCATATATAAATAAACTTATAAGTTCAACAGAAAATAGCTGGAAAATAAAATATGCTTAATAGTAGTAGAAAAGACAATTAAATTGCATAAATTGTTAGTTTTGATTTTATGTGTTTATAATTTTTATTCAAGAAAAAGCGTTTGACTCTGACAGACACCGGCTAAAGTGACCATATACATATTTATACGATTACGAGTAGAAAGTGCAGCTGTTTATACAAATTATTACGTTTTTTATTTTTGTTAGTTATAATTTTTCATGTTGTCACATTTCATTAAAAAAAATATCACATCATCGGTTTCGAGATTATGTTCGATTAAGTATGTTACAATGCATTCACAAGTATAAATGTATTTCAATTGCATATCCAAATGATTGCTTCTATAAATTCTGCTAAGTATATCTATCTATGTTTGTCAGACCACTAATTAGTTTTTACGCATTCTCATAAAACTCTTTATGCCTGTGGCATTTAACGCAAACAATAAAGATGAAATAAACGTGGCTGAGTAAAGTAAAGATCAGAAAGCGGAAATCGCAACGAAAAGTTAAATTTATTGAAACAAAATATTCTATAAGTTGTATGTGTATTTAATTGTTACGCAATTTTTTTT